AGGAACTTTGGATTGGGCAAAGGGGAGGGTGGGGAGAGGAGAAGGCATGGGGGTGGGAAAGATGATAAAATGAGAGGGACATCATTTCCCTAGGTACATGTATGTTTGCAAGAATGTGGGACTTTATCAATGTACAACAGAGAAATTAAAAGTTGTGCTCCATTTGTGTACAGTGAATCGAAACACATTCTGCTGTCATGTATAACTAATTAGAACAAATTATATATATTTTAAAGCAGGAGATGTAATTTAATGTATTAGTAGAAAAAAATGTAGACTCCAAGGCTGTACCCATTTAGGCTACTATTCCCAGTGACTATGATTGAAAACCAAGGCCCAAGTTTTTCCAGGCTCCCAGGCTGGGGGTGAATCCCTCAGTGGGCAAATTGAAGTGAGTCCTATTCCTATAAAGTGATTTCTCTATTCTGATCAGTTGCTGATGGGCCTCATTATCCACCTTATTTATTCCACCATTGGTAGATCTCTGTGATTCTGGCTCCTTTCTTTTCTTTTTGTTTCCTTTTTCTTTTTCTTTTTTTGCTGGGGATGGAACCCAGGGCCTTGTACATGCTCAGCAAGCACTCTACCACTGAACTATATCCCCAGCTCCTATGATTTCCTTTCATTCTAGTTCTAGCTCAAATTTACTTCTCATCCCTCCCTCCAACTCAGTAACACTAACGAAACTGTTGTATTTATAGTAAGTACTGGTTTCTCAAATTATTGTTTTATCTTGATAGCTAGAATAGAATAGCAGCTCTGTGAGAGCAGGAACCATTTTATAAGTGTTACTGCTTTTGCCCCAGTGCCTGGCACTCAGAAAGAGCTGAACTGAAGAAATACTTTCTGGAAGGCTGGCTTGCTATTTCTGTTTTCTGGGGGATGCTCAAGTGGTCTCTTAAGGCTTTTCCCAAATGGAGGAATCTTGTTTCTGGTTGAGGCCATGGAACATTGTCCACCACAAAGACATTAGTGGTTGTGAGAACTTTGGCTTGAGAGGCAGACATTCTCCTATCAGGAAATGGTGAAATTCAAGTTATGACCTCACACCCCAATACCCTCTTGCCCCATTTAGGAAGAAACTTCAGGGATGAGAAACAAATGAAGATTCGGTGTCTGCATTATAGTTGTACCTCAGCTTCATGGCTTCTCCATTTCATTTGATTCTCAGTATACCCCTTGTCACTCCAAGCCACCTAGGCTTTCTCTCAAATTATGTTCCAATTTGTCCTCTGAAGTTGGGGTTCAACTTCAGATTTCATTTCAACCTGTGTCAAGAATAGCAGACAACCAGTGTGGTCCAGTGCTTTGCTTTGCTTTCTTCCTTCCTTCCTTCCTTCCTTCCTTCCTTCCCTTCCTTCCTTCCTTTCCTTCCTTCCTTCCTTCCTTCCTTCCTTCCTTCC